GGGGGGGCAAAGGGAAGTAGGAAGACCACAAGGCCTAAAACAAGCTGATACATAGATAAAACTTAGTAAATGGCAACCGTATACCTTATTTTAAAAACAAACATTGAAAATAAATCTTTATGAGGCAGTGCCAAACTTGATTCTTAAATTATCTGCTGAAATCTTTTAAAACCCACAGGATATTTTATATCACCCATCACAACTTGTGTACCTTTGGGAAGTTTTCAGATAAAAAGGTAAAATGACATAAAAGTTAGTTAAAAACAAGCTAAAAATCAATTAAGAAAAAGTTAAAAGGGAAAACTCTGTAAGCTAAAAGGCAGAGAACCTTTAGCCCAGTGATAACTAACTGGTTTATGAGACAGGGGGGGGGGAGGAGGAGGAGGGGACAGGGTCACAGGTAACTGTAAATTACGTATGCCAGAGTTGGCTTCATGCAGGGCAGTGCCAGTCTGTTTCCTCTAATGAATCCTTTGAAGTTTGGCTCGAGAATCATGATTTAATTAGAGCAACTGGTGGAATCCTGACACAGAGGCTATTTTCTTTTTTTCTTTTTTCTTTTTTTTTAAATCTTAGTATTTCTTTTATTTATCTTATATCTTTAATTTTCTATTTCTTTCATTTATTTTAACACAGTAAATGTTTATTTGGTGTTAAGTTAATATCTGTCAGTAGTATTCCCCACTAATTTTAACCATCTTAAATTGTTACCAGGAAGAACAGGTAGTCCTCAACTTGTAAGTTCATTTAGTGACCATTCAAAATTACAATGGTACTGAAAAAAGTGATTTATGACAGTTTTTCACACTTACAACCATTATAGTAACCTTGTGGTCATTTGATCAAAATTCAGTTGCCTGGCAACTGGTTCACATTTACGATAGTTGCAGTGTCCTGGGGGCACGATCACCTTTTGTGACCTTCTGACAAGTGAAGTCAATGGGGAAACCAGATTCACTTAACAACCGAGTTAGTAACTTAAAAACTGCAATGATGCACTTAACAACTGTGGCAAGAAAGGTCGTAAAATGGTGCAAACTCACTTAACAAATGTTTCACTTAGAAACATAAATGTTGGGCTCAAATATGGTCGTAACTCAAGGACTACTGTATGGCCATTTTTATCTACAATTGTTTTTGGCCCATTGCAGAGAATGTGAACTCTTAGACTGGAGAGGGGCTTGACACTAAAGAATTAGGAACACATCCACAGAATTCAGTGATTAGTTGTGAGTGGATAAAGGACTACATTTTTATATTCCAATCAAGCCCCCTGGCATGCAGTACAGATAAACAGAAACGAATTGTATAGTGTGTATTAAAACATTATTTTGATATGCCAGACTCCAAAATCTTGCATCTTATGAGCCATGGAATCAGAGTAGAAACTCCCTAAAAATACTGCCAGTAAAATTTGTGGCCTTTTTGGGTCACAATCCTGAAACTTGGGAATGGCTACCAGTGCCAAATCTACTGCCCCCTTTTTTAAAAAATGTGATTTATTTTTTTTTACTATAATGAGCAATTAGTTGCTTATTGGGGCAAGCTGCTCAGGACTACAATCATCCTTTTAGACTCTATCCTCTTCTCTAAGTGAATTTAGGGAAGAAGTAAGGATGTTTTGGAACTCCAAATTCTGTAGAACTAAACTACATTCCTCACCATTACCATGGAGCTCTTCTAAAGGGCAACGGCTTCCCCAACTTATATATAAAATTTTTACAATAACGATATACATTTACTTTCTTCCCCACTATTAAAAACAAAGTCTGAACGTATTTCTAAGAAAGAGCAGCTTTTATTAAATTCTCAAAAATTTAATAAAAGCTGGAGAACTAAAAAGTTCCTTACTAAGAATACTCAAAATAGAAAGTGGTTTTGTCTTCGGAGCTTTCGGGCTTTGCTGGAGTCCATCTTCAGGGAACTTCTCCAGCACAAGTCTGAAAGTTCAGAAGACAAAACCCCAATCCTGGTCACCAACCCAGATTGGATCCTATAACATTATCCTGAGATATGTATATTCTCCTTCATTCGACAAAGGTTAATTTATCGAGTTGTAAGGTTTATGTCTAAGAATTGCAAAATAAAAAATCCCTTATTAAAATTAATGTATACACAGCACATTTTTATTGAAGTTAAAATAAACTTATTCTCTGTTTAAGTATAGTTTATAAATGACATCTAACCTGTAGAGCATAAAGAATTACAGCAGTCAATCCAATCCAGCTGTGTAGACTGTACATGTTAGGAATCTTCTGAGCATTATGGAAATCGAAAACAGCCACCAGGGAAATAATAGCAAGTGTCAGAGCAATGGTATGTAACCCTGCATGGATTAATTTCATCAAAAATTTGCTGCATTTCCAGGTCCATGGTAACCTGTATACAATAATTGCTGAAATTGGGAAATAAGAAAGAATTCTGAAGTTAAAACAAAACAAACTTTATTAGGAACGTTAAAACTATTCTTGCCATATGACACATGACACTTTTGAGAATTTCCTTCAACAAATAGGTCATGCTTTCTCATTTTACTGTTTATCCCTTTTCTGAGGGAAAAAAATTCAGATTGAAACTAAAATATTGACACCCCCCTTTTTAAAAATAATCTTGTTTTGGAAGAAAAAGGGCGTATCTCAGAGACACAGTGATAAAAGTTTTCTACCTAAGATTTTGGAGACTGACTGGCAATCATGCTAGATTAAATAAATGGCCTGACTCAACACATTTAACAAAAACTTTTTTTTTAATTAAAATTCCTGGCTTAGTGTGCACCTTCTAAACCAGATTCAATAAAGTTGGCTCTTGCTTATATATTTTGCTTACAAATTTTGAATTGTTGGGATTGACAAACCAGAATTTCCCGTTGTGACAATTTACTAAAACTGTTTGGGTGAAATCAGCTATGTGCACATTGGAAATCAGACAGCACATCATCTTTCATAGAACAACAACTCTGTTAAAAAAAAAAACCTGGCCCACATTTCAACTTAAAAAGTCAGAAATAGGCACTTTCCGTCTGCATGATAACCTCAGTGGACTATGTAAGTAAATGGCTACATTCTAGTAGTGGATAGGGCCAGAAGAATTTTGAGGGACTTTAGGGGAGAAATAAATGGCTTAAATTTCTGCAAATTTCCTTAAGACAACATCGTGAATATGCAAAAAAGGAAGAAAAACTGAGTTTACTCATTGAGAGGAGAGTTCTGGGGGAGGGAGCTTCAGAAAGGAATCTGATGAATCACTGTCATTCTTCCACTAAAATTTACGGGGGTGAGGGTGGGGTTACTTTTTTACTCCACTTTATTATTTTTATAAATAACTTAGGGTGGCAAATATCCCTAATATTCTTTCCTCTTATTTTCCCCACAACAATTCTGTGAGGTATCTTACAGTATCTCCGGACAACTGCATAACTGGATAGAAGCATTCTTAAGGGATTTTTTTTCTCTATCCAACTGGATTTTATTTTGGTTTCCCATTGTTACATAAGCAATATCTACTGTATATCTGGTATGTTACTCCTAATGTTATTGTACCTGTACATTATCCATGCCAGTAAAATAATTTACTATTGCCAGCATATCTGCTCAAAGTACCATTCTAACCCCCCATGAATGAATGTGTATGTGTGTGTGTCTGTATAGAGAGAAAAATAAAGATGAGGCAATGATGGGATGGGACACCTGATGATTATATTTGAGAATATGCTGTGGACATTTTTCATAAGTAGCTGCCATGGTGACATAGCCACTGGCAGCACTCCTATTTACCACAAAGCAAACTGCCATTTTTTGGTTCCCCTTTATCCTGAGAATGCACACTCCTACCTCTCTTTGTATTTGTTTCTGGATAGATGAGTGTAATTTCATACAAAACTGCAACATACCACATTCCTTTTCCAAAAATATCTGATTTCCAAATGTGTTCTTGTAAATGAAGATAATTGGGAGGGAGGGGCATTGCGCAGCAAGTTAGGAGAAAGAATCAATTCAGATCTGGCTGTGAGCATGAGCAGATGCCAATGGGCAAGGTATAAAGTTTCCAGTGCCTGGCATATTGCACACTGTAGTTTAAAAGATTTTGCAGTCACGCCTTCTAACAGGTGAATGATACATTGCACACTGATCCCTCAATGAACAGAAATGGATTTGTTAAAATTAAGCACACAACTCTTCTTACAGTTTGCTTTTACTTTTAAAATCTCTCATATTTTTCTCTTCTGGACTCTGAAGATCTAACAACTCCTAGCTTGTACAATTAATTTGCAAGTCCAAATCTGATTTCCTATACTTATCAGACATTATAAACCTCATATAGTATCATTATACAGTATGTGTATTAATTTTTAGGGTTTTTTTTTCCTACTAAGATTTTCTACCATTAAGACTTCTTTCTTTCACCAGTCATATTACTTTACCAAGTAAAGTCCCCAGCTGGGTTTTCCTCCCATTACAGTATTAAATCTATTTTAAATAACACAAATCTAGCATTCAGTACAAGATGATTATTAATTAAAAGACATTCTACAGATGTGATTCCTGCATCATCAATGAAATAAAATTACTTCATGAACTAAAACCAAAATGGTCAAATATTTATTTTAAGACAATTCTACAGAAACTGATATAAGTGCTAATAATCAGAACACAATGGGGTTTTTCAGTAACCCAGACACTGCGGTTTCTTTTGTACCATCCCGGTTAGTCACACTTGTAGCAATCTTCCTCCTCCCCGCCCTGTGCTGTCCAGACAGACCACCGCCCTTATTTACAACTGTTTGTCAACTACCTAGCGTTTTCGAAATAATCCAAAGAAACCACGAGTGCGTTTGTGTTTTTCAAGTCTGGTAAAGCGTCAGTGAAACAGTCGCCGCAGAGAATTAACGGTTCCAAAGCCATTGCTATTAAAAACGCAAAGTCACTGAGGGGGGGGGGGGAACAACACCAGGGAAGCCTAAATACCTCACGCCCTTCTTGCTCTGGAAGAGATATGATCAATTATACGGGTAAACAGAAAAGGGCCCAAGCCCAAGAAAATCATATGCACGTCGTGACAGCCCGCTTTAGGAATCCGGCTGGCAGTTTTGCCACACCTCTTAAGTGTGTTTACCCAGTTGGGTAATGAGGCGTCTGCAAAGCAAACTCGAGACCCCCAAGGACTCCCCAAGTCCAACTGCAACACTCAAAAGAGTTACTCCTTACGTTGGACGCAATTGGAGCGAGGCTCGCTTTCTCGCTAAAAGGGCGCCAACAGGCACCGTTCCCGGGTGAGCGGGTTTGGAGAGCTTGCTCGAGAACCAAGAAAGCGGAACGGGGGGTGGGGCGGTGGGGAGAGGCAGAGCGAGAGGTCAGCCAAAGCAGGAGAATTCCTGCAACTCTTTGCGGGTTTCCCCTCATCCTGGGAAAGGTCCAACTCCACGGCCAGCGACGAGAGCGAGCTGCTCACCTTGCAGTTGCGATCCTAAACTTGCCACCGCAGCCCCCAGCCGCCTTTTGAAGTTGCAGTGCCAACCCGGGGCTGGAAAGCTGACGAGGCCTGTCAGTTTGCCAGAAGAAGCCGTCACACCCCCCACCCGACCCCACCCCCACGGGAGCTAACGGACCCGCATGCTGTGGAAGTTTTGCTTCTATGGGAGTTGCCGCCTTCGCAGGGTGGTGGTGTTGGGGGAATAAATAAATAAAGCCCAGCAGCCTCTTCTCGCGACCTCCTCCCTCTCCACCCACCCCAGTCCCGGCCCCGACCGCTCGGCTGGCCCTCCAAACCCTTCTCCACCCACCCCGTCCTGGCTACGCACCGATCCCTTGGATGAACACGAAGCCCGCGATGATGAGGAGCGGGTGCCAATTGAACTCGGCCGAGCCCCCGTTCCAGCCGAGCCCCCCGCGGTAGTTGAGGACCCAGACCAGGGCGAAGACCACGGAGAGGAAGCCGAGCAGCAACGCGGAGGCGAGGAAGGCCAGGAAAAGCTTGTAGCCTTCCATCTTCCACCACACCAGGACGCAACTGCGGAGGACCCAAACAAACTCGGGAACGGGGCGGAGACGGGAGCCGGAGCTCTCGGCGTGGCGCGCCCTCCTCCTTCGTCTCCTGAAGGGAAAGAAAAAAAAGGGGTGTGTGAGAGAGAGAAAGCCAAGTAATTCCTCCCACTTGGACGGGGCTGGACGTTCAAGGCACCGGGCAGGGGCTCTCAAGACTCGTTCCTCTGCTTTCTAGTCCTTACCCGCTGCTTCTTTTTTTGCGCCTCTTTCCTCCCCTCCCCGGACTCGAAAACAACTCAAAGTTTACGCTCCTTAAATTGCTCTGGCTTAAGAACCATTAGGCTCTCGAGGCGTTTTTTCTTTTCTTTTTTTTCCCGGAAGCTCCCTGCGCGGATATTGGTAAACCCGAAAGCAGCAGCGTTAAGCTCAAACCTGCTATCGAGGCGGCTTATTCTGGATGCCGTTTGGATTTCAGCTTCAAAGTCTCCTCCCCGCAGGGAACTCTCGTTGACTGGATTCCACCTGTATCCTGAGCTTTCTCGAGGCAACGCGAAAGTTTTAGGGTTGCCAGTGCCAAAAAGAACGTATTTGCATTCGTTTTTAAGGCTCTTCTAAGCTATCATACTTTTTTCCACTGGATGCAGCATGGACATTATGGGGGCCTATGGGTTATGTTGTGCTTTTTTCCCCTTGTGATGCAGACTTGTCAGCCTTTTCTGTGATGCTATTTCTGCCCTGACATTCTTCTAGCATGTAGCCAGAGAATCCCTCCACACCTTGTAAGTATTCGGTGTAGGCTTAGGGCCCAAAGTTGGCCCTGTTCGCTGTGCATATACATAGATACATACCATACTGTTCCCTTTTGGGGTGAGCATTACTATTCCCAGCACAGAAAAAGAGTTAAATAATAAGTGTAGGAATAAAGAGCATGAAATTTTTTTTTTTAAAAAAAGGAAAATCTGGTTTACATCAACAGAGCTTGCTATACTTAATGCCTTTGTATCCCTGCTTCCTTCTCATTTGTAAATTTTTTCTCTTTAATCTTAGCTCTTTTTTTGCTTTGTAACTCATCAGTTCCAGCCATTATTTTCAGTTTTCTACTTCATCTTATTCTACTTTGTCCCACTCTTTCATTCACTCTTCACTTAAAATTAGTTACTAATTTAGCATGCTGTATGCTTTTTCTATTCTTTTGTATTCAATTCATCTGCATTCCACATTAATTCATTTTTACCACTTCCTATTTTAACAGACACACACCTGGAATCCAATCCTGTGCATTCAACTTAATTTTTTCTTTCTCCTGATATAAGCTGTGGAAAGGGAACTTCATGAGGACAGTGGTGACACCCAAGCAGGAA